TGAAATGATTTGCCAAAAAAATTTCATAGATGATGGTTGACTCATTTGAAGATGTTTAATACAGAGTGAGATGAATACTGATATATATAAAAATAATGATATATAAAAAATGTTTGTAGATTATATATAAAACATGAATCATTCAAGGAGGATTTGGCGAGTGTCTAAGTAAATAAGTACTTATATAAAATGAATAAACAACAGAGAACATCCACAAAGGCTATAAGTTAATATAAAATATAAAGAACATTGATGACATCAAAAGGCAATAGAAATAACAAATGAATAAAATTATGTAGAAATTATCACGGTAGTGGATAAACCACAATCACATACATATTGAGATTTTCAATAAAGAGAAAGAAAAAATGTTCAGGAAAAAAAAGTTTTGGAAAAAAATTTGAATGAAAATGACGACGATAAAAATATGAACATACATATTTGATATCGTCACAGAACAACACTAGGACAACAACAAAATCTTGGTTCCGAGATAGTTTCATTTCAAATTTTCATGATAACTATATAAAATCTCGAATATTTATGGCTCTAGCTAACGCATCACAGTGAAATTTTGAACACTTTCTGAACTTCCAGGTATAACACAATCTGTGTTGATTCGAAATAGAAAAATGCTTCTGCAAAAAAGTAATATCGACTTGTTCTACCGTTGCTACTGAACTGTATGACATGTTGTAGTATATTGCCACGAGTTACATACAGTATATTAGTAATTTCGAACCATCCGCAAAGTCAATGTACAGTTTGTCGAACTTGCAAAATTAACTCAGTTTCATGACAAGGCTCTCTTGGTTCTTAACTCATTTCTTCCTGAGGAAAGTTAGGCTACTTGCTGTTCAAGCTTAAGTACATCAAGCACTTCATCTCAGTACTATTAACCTATAATTCTTCCTTGAGCAGAAGTGATGAAGAAGAAGATAACCTAAAAATTTACCAACGTGTGATAAACGTTGACAAATTGTTTCAATGTCTTAAATTGTGATAAAAGAATTTGCATTAATGTAAGAATCATGTGAGAATCGGTTTTGTTCGTATTTTACAAGAATTTCAAATGTTTCGTGACACTGTATGTATAAAAAATGTTACATAGATTATCAAAATTTCCTCTCAACATCATAGTGATCATCCTCAAATAGTGTAAGTACCATTCGAACATTTCATTATATTGCTGTCATTGTACACATAAAAAATCTATTGTAGTAGACCCTGAAGATGGAAATATACATTTCCGAAAGCTCGGGCAAACTGTAATGAGTTCACATTAACTTTCCTGCAATGCTCAGTTACAGTAGGAATTTAAAAACAAGAAATCTTCACTCAGAAGCAATACACGTACATATATGTTCAATTTTTTCTACTAGGTAGATCAATTATTCGCACATACATTCAGCTTTGATGAGTGCAAATAGCTACTCTGTGAACTCCAACATCATATTAACTAAACTTCATTTATTCATTGCGAATCTCATGTATTTAGAGTAGTGATGAAACATATTTTATTGAAGGTATATATCTGCTGAAAAGCTCCCTCGAATCACAAGAGCACACAAATAAACTGACAAAAGTGAGGTTTTCTTTGCTTGAATCACTTCGAAAAATCGAAAAAATATACACAAGCAAATGGACCATTTCAAAACAATGTACTTTCATATAGTTCCATAACCGACCACTTTTGTCGCTGCGATCTTGAATTCAGTCCATGAGAACGGAGTAGGTATACCGAGACGTATCCTAGTTATACCTACTTGGTTTCTTGACTATACCCTTGATTATATATATACTAGTGTGAATACTCAATGGCTATACCCATTGAATATTTCAATATTCTCATTGACACACCCTGTTCATCTAACCAAGGCGAATTATTTCGACCAGCACAGTATTGTGGATATAAATAGCCTAACATGATTCTCATTTGTATAGGATTTCGTTTAATGCAGTGGTTTCATCGATTTTTTTCCAGAATTCAATCCTTCAGCTTGAAAGGAAGCATTTCCACTTATTACTATAATGTATGAGCACATGTTAAGATGCATTTTCTTGAACCTTTTCAAATGTACTTCAGACAATGAAATCGTGATCTTGATCCATCATTTGAGGCTATCAGCTGTGGCATTTTTTCTCAAACGCCGTAGCAACGGTTTCAAGGCACTTTTAGATGTCAACATTCATGATTATTCCATTATTAGTTTTTCAATTCCTGAAATGCATGGAATAGTATACGTACATGAACCACGGAACGAAAGTTTTTTTCAGTTCCTGAATTCATTGTAGCCCTCTTTCTGGTCGGGTTACATAGTTTTCCTATGGCTGTAACACAAAATTGCTCTTGTTTCACTGTGTTCGATACATCAATGAGGTACTTTGAATGTCATCAATTTTATTTCCGTATCTGATATTACAATAATTTTGAATTGATCCAACATTGTATCAGTAAATCACTTGTCGAAGCTACTGATGTGTTAGCGAAACATGTCGTGTGTTTGAGAATTTTGTGGAAATCTTATCGTTTGTGAAGTTTTCACATTTGATATCACAATGACTCCCTTGAGTTATTATTTCAAAATTATCTCATTGCTCATGGAATGTTGAATTGCAAGCAATGACAGCATTACTTGACTGGAAATCAGATGGCTACCTGATGTCACTATTGATATTGATAAAAGAGCGAAATTTACGTCAACGCTTTTTTTTATCGATTGGAGCGCACGAAAGGGAATCCCTATAATGTTCAAAGAACATCGTGCGTTCCTAGGGAGGATAGGGACAGGAGGTAGGTATTGGATTTTTTTTTTAATTTTTGAAGATTATATGTTGTTGGGAATACTTCCACAGGCAATGAATTCCAGAGCCTAGCCGTTCTATGGATGAAGGAGTCTTGATAAAGTGCTGTTCGACATCTTTCGAGGTTGACAACGAAAGGATGTGCTGACTGGGCTTGTCTAGTTCGTCTGATTGGTATTGCTAGTGAAGGGATGATTGCAGAGATTTCCGAAGAACATTTCCCGTGGAAGTATCGATAGAAAAGTGAAGGGTCGCCGACCTTTCTACGGTGTTCCAATGATGTCAAAGAGTGAGTGAGTGTGGCGTCACCCACCAGGCGAATGGCTCTTCTCTGGATGGAATCTAAGAGCATCAGCGTATGTTTTGGTGCTGAACCCCATATGTGGGAACAGTATTCTAGAACAGGCCGTATCTGCGCTTTGTAGATCATGAGAAGCTGTTGAGGTGTAAAGTAGCTTTTCGCACGGAACAAGAATCCGAGTTTTTGTGATGATTATCCCATGAAAGAGTGTTGCTGATGGAAATACCGAGCATAGATATGGTGGGCTTGGTGGGGATGGTGGAGCCAGACATTACAATATCGGGCATACTGAGTTCCGCCTTTCTAGAGAAAATGCAGGCTTGAGTTTTGGTGGCGTTGAATTCAACTAGGTTGTTCGTTCCCCAGGCTGTGATTTCAGCAAGATTTTCATTGACAGCATTGACCTGCCTACGCCGTCAGTTCTTAGTTTCCTGGGAAGAAATGGGAATTCTGGAAGAGAACGCAGTATGGAGGGTACTATCATCTGCAAAGCTGTGGATGGGGCAAGTTGTTACTCCCAACAGATCATTGATATGAAGCAGGAATAATGTTGGTGCCAAAATTGATCCTTGTGGAACGCCGAAATTCATGCCAATGGTATCAGACGATACACCGTCCACCACCACGTGAAGCGATCTGCCTGAAAGAAAACTCGATAAGAGATGGCATAGCTGAGGTGGTAGTATTACCGACAATTGGACGTGGTCAATTGGACGTACGAAGATTGGACGCGGATAATTGGACGCGGCGACAATTGGACGCGGCGACAATTGGACGCGGCAACAATTGGACGCGGCGACAATTGGACGCGGCAACAATTGGACGCGACGAAAATTGGACGCGCTCATATCTATAATATAACAAATAACTAACCTAACCTAACCTAACCTGTCAGGTATTTGTTATAATTATGGATATAAGCCCATCAGTATTTCATATTTTATACAATGAATTTCATAGGAATTATAAAATTATTTTTATTTACGCATGCGTCCAATTGTCGCCGCGTCGAATTGTCGCCGCGTCGAATTGTCGATGCGTCTAATTGACGCAGCGTCTAATTGTCGCCGCGTCCAATTGTCGCCGCGTCCAATTGTCGCCGCGTCCAATTGTCGCCGCGTCCGATTGTCGCCGCGTCCAATTGTTGCTGCGTTCAATTGACTGCGACTAATAGTCGTGCGTCTAATTTTCCACGTCCAATTGACGCGACACCAGGTGGTAAGCCGTATGATGGTAGTTTGTGGAGGAGTCCTTCGTGCCAAACACGGTCGAATGCTTTCGATATGTCCAACGCGACAGCTAGAGATTCCCCGTGTATTGACGATTGCCATAAATGGGTGACGTAGGCAAGTAGTAGTAGCAGTTGATCTTCGGTGGCGAAAGCCGTATTGTCTATCATTGATGATTCCTGAGCTCTCCAGATATTTGATAAGCTCAATATTGATGGCTTTCTCCATCACTTTGGAGATTACTGATAACAGGGCAATGGGCCTGTAGTTGTTGGGCAGGTTCTTGTTCCCTTTTTTAGGGATTGGTTGGACTCTAGCTGTCTTCCAGCATGATGGAAAAATACCCGACCTGTACGAGATGGTGAACAACTTATTCAACGTATTCTGCTCTAGTCGCGAGGTTAGGGTTTTTGCGCCAGCGATGGTAGGCAGTTTGTTACAAGGCAACAGTTCTAGAACAGTTTTTGTTGAACCAGGGTTTCGAAGGTGATGATCTTTTCGAAAAATGAGGTATGTATGTGTCCATTCTGAGCATGATGATCTCGGATATTTCCGCAGCACAGCTTGTTTAGTAGTCCTTGGTCGCTAAAGTCCCACTTTACGCCTGGCCGTTAAAAAAAGTGTGTTTTCAAGAATGTTAGGATACTATTCATAATTTCACCCACCTGAGTCGTGTAGGATGCTGTACCTCGTATCCCCAGTGACCCTGTTTTCTCCTGCTGTGAGCACCCTCACGCTGTGTCGCTCTCTGTCGTCCATCTTCCACATGACGGTGTTGGTACCAATGTCCCTCACGACACACGTGATGAGGGCGTCATCGCCCTCGTAAACGAGGGTGGGGGTGGTGAGACCGTCCCTCATCGATGGTACGCCTGGAAATCATTAGGAATCATTATGAATCAATAACGATTGCTCTATATGAATATTAGTTGTATAAACTGAAGAAATACCCTTTCATAGATAGCCGAACTAAAAAGAGGTGGAAAATGAAATAATAAAAGAGTGTTGATAAATACCCAACATAGAAAATATTGGCACCTGTCGCGTAATCAGTACATTCTTCGTTGAGTTTTCAATAACACACTTTTATTATTCTATAATCTACCTATTTTTGGTTGAGCTATTGAATGATGGGTTTTTCATTCGTCTTTCAAAGTACTATTGATTTTCTATTTTTAGTTGGGTTGTTTACAAAAGCGTGTTATACAGTGAGAACGTAAAAAGTCTTTCTCCCCTTCAACCTTGGAATGAAACAAGCTATTTGGCATGAAAATGGTTGTGGTCACGTGACCTAGTGTCAAGTGGGCACCATCAACTTTTTTTTCAAATATAAAGATGGGTCACGTGGTACCTTGTTTTAAAGGCCTTTCGATTCTCTATCCAACTCCGCTTTGTTTGTGCAAATCGGTCAAGCCGTTTCAAAATGACGAGCGTTTGAAATGTTCCTCGGAAACAGTAAATCACGTTCGGATTGAATTCCGAATTCTTTCGTGTCAATAACTGAACGATGATCATTTCTAGCATGTTTGAGCACTTGTTACAATAATTCTTACTGGGAGTTATGTTGCAATTGAAAGTTATTTGGGTTTTTTATTCATTAATATTAATACAGTGCAGACTCGATAATCCGAACGTTCAATAATCCGAATTCTTCAGTATAGTCGGGGCTAAATTCCAAAAAAAGCCCTCCTTTACAATCCTAGAAGCATTTCATGTAACAATTGGATAAATGCTGTTAACCCCCTATTTTGACCCCGCTGAATCCGAAAATACCGTTTATCAAGTCGAAATTCCAACCGGAAGTGAGATATTCAAGATGGCGTCCAGAATACCCCTAAAATCAAATTATTTTCTACTTTCGGTCAGCTATACGATTGAGGTGTCGATGTCTATGTTTTCGGGGGTGTAGAATACGATGAGACACACAAAAAATGATTTGGAGCTTTGAAAGTTCATCGAATGATCAAAATTCGACGAAATGGGCCAAAATTCCAAAGAACTTGTGAAAACGTGTTTTATAATGTACATGCTTGCATATACGTTTTCGAGGGTGCTCGATACGTTTATGAGCCAAAAAAGCATTTGAACATTGTCCAAGCCTTCATTTCTTATATTTTGAAAAAAAAAAAGTTCACTATTAGTAGTCTTCCTCATCTTTTCTGCTCCATTCGGCTCCCTGCAGCCACACTGCTTCGTGCCGCAGTGGCCGCAGAGCCCCATGCAGCCACAAGCTCCAAATTCGGGACATGACTTCAGATACTAGTGTGGATTAAGGCCCATGATCAGTATCCTGATTTATAAGACCCGAATAATTACGGCTGGAAAATTGTTGATGGACGATATGTCCCAATCCTGATGACTTTGCCACCTATTCCCAATTAATTTTCCGAATTTGGAACTCGTGGCTGCAAGAGACTCTCTCAAAATATAAGAAATGAAGGCTTGGACAATGTTCAAATGCTTTTTTGGCTCATAAACTTATTGAGCACCCTCGAAAGCGTATGCAAGCATATACATTATGCAACACGTTTTCACAAGTTCTTTGGAATTTTGGTCTATTTCGTCAAAATTTGATCATTCGATGAACTTTCAATGCTCCAAATAATTTTTTGAGTGTCTTATCGTATTTTACACCCCCGAAAACATAGACATCAACACCTCAATCGTATAGCTGACCGAAAGTAGAAAATAATTAGATTTCAGGGGTATTTTGGACGCCATCTTGAATATCTCACTTCCGGTTGGAATTTCGACTTGATAAACGGTATTTTCGGATTCAGCGGGGTCGAAATAGGGGGTTAACGTCATTTATCCAATTGTTACATGAAATGCTTCTAGGATTTGGCTTTTCGCAAAACAAGCCCCGACTAGTAGTCCGAACAAGCATTTTTAATACATTGAGTACTCTATAATCCGAATTTCATAGTACTCGATAATTCGAACCTATAGCTTTAGGCCTATTTATTTCCTATAGAAATTGTGAGTGAAATGTTCAGGGATTCCCCTAATTGTTCTTTTGTTAGTATCTGAGATTCACATTACTCAAGGAAGAAAATAATATTCCGTTAAATGATATTCTTGTACTTCAAAGATTTGAAGAAATGGCCTTTATAAATAATCAAAGATGTGTTAAGCAAACAAAAATTACAAATTACTTTAGAAACTAGTATTATATTCTTACTTTTATGCATATTCTAGCGTTACTTTTTCGTATTTATGTTTTTTTTTTGCATTTCGTAATAAAAAATTTAAAAAAAACTGCTTCCGTAATCCGAATTTTTTGGTAATCCGAATCGCCTTGGTTTTTATTAGTTCGGATTATCGAGTCTGCACTGTATTTGAAGTAAATTATTTCAAAAGCTTGTCTTTTCGAAACGACCTGACCAATTTGCACAAACAAAGCATGGCTGGATAGAGAATCAAAAGACCTTCCAAAATAGGCACCACGTGAACCCTCTCTATATTTGAAAAAAAAGTTGATAGTGCCCACTTGACACTATAGGTCACGTGACTACAACCATTTTCATGCCAGATAGTAGTGAAAAAGGTATACCTTTTTGCCTGAATTCCACTTGACCCCGCTAAGTTGTTCCGTTCAAAGGTTGAAGGAAGGAGGGAGAACTTTTTACGTCCTCATTGTATAGTGTTAGGTACTATATTTTTTGTAACCTAACCAATTCTGACGAATGATTCATAATCTCCTACCTCTAAAACCCACAGATACCAAGTAAGTAGGTTTTGAAAAATAATAATGAACATATTTTTGCATAGATATACACGGTGATTTACGTAAGAAGTATTCCACCTTGCATTATTTTGAATAGAACCCTACATTTCTTTCACCCGGTGTGGCCCTTAATAGATTTCATTTCTAGTTTTATCTAATTATCAATCGAATATCAAAATATCGAATAATAATAATTATCATGTATGCTCAACAGAGAGAATATGAATCGTTGGGCGTGAATTGAAACTGTTACTCAAATAAATTTATAAATAACACAATCGAAAGATGGAATTCATTTCACTAGATATTACGTAAAAATTAGTAAGCTGTGGGCCCAGGATATCCGACAGGAGGAGATTTCAAACAAATTGATAAAGTATACACGTATAATAATATTATATAAATAATAAAATTTACTATTTGATGAATTGGTAATAAATATCAATAATTATCTGGAAGTGAAGAAAAATATAGTAACCATAGGTTACCATAAGGTTCAGGTCATAATATAGAGATAAATTCGACATTCAAAATATTCTGAATTTCGAAATAATCAGAACTGATATTTTATACATACGAAACAAAGTGAATATTTACATCACTGAAAAGACCAACAAATTCCAAAAGAATAAGTACAATAAGTTATAGACAAGGATTATAGCCCTTATTCTGGACAATATTAATACTTGAAAAGAAGGAATCTTGAGGAGATTTCAAAATGTGATGATATTAGGTGAGTACACAGTTAGGAAAATTAGCAGCTGCAGACTTATACATTTTATCTCATACTATGTCAGGTTATATAACGGTTAGGTACAAAAAGTAGATTCATATATATATAGTTCATATATTCACTATTCGATTCATTCATGAAAAATATGTATATAATTAAACACCAACTTTTCTTTGATAATGGACGAGTGGACTGATAATGAATTATCGGCATTCAATTACTCCACTGTATCGTTAGGAACCTAAATCAATTTTTGCAACACTTCTCACGCTTTTTTTATGTAAATAATGAGTCAATGCGTTGCACATTTCAAACGTAACGTCATGGCCACCATTTGGCGATACGTTGAATAAATGCCCAGGCAACCAGATGTCGAATGATCACGTCACTGTGACGTCATTAATTGGTGATTGTTCGTCAGAGACGTCACACACCAATTTATGACGTCACTATGACGAACTTTTTATGACGTGATAATCACGTTGCAGGAACGTCCTGTCGACGTCCATTTTTCCTAGACCTTCTCCAAACCATGAATACTTATATATCATTATGTGAAACAGAAGTATTACTCATGAAAGCAAATCAACATGCAAGTTCTATTGGAATTATTAATATACCCGAAAAGTAGGAGAACACTTTTTTATAAAAAACTTTGACACACTAGCTGTATATCTCGGAAACCAACTAACTATGTTTATATACAAATGATTGTTTAGGTATACCTATATTGAAACCGTTATTCTTATGACGTTGCAGTGACGTATCTATGACGTCTAAAAATCACGTCGGTGTGACGTACCAATTTGGTGAGCTTCGTCATTTAGGAAATTTTTCAATAATTTGCTATTCAGATTTTTCTTGGGTGACAAAGAATGCATCAATATACATTATTCAACAAAGTGAAGCCAAATTCGCCAACATCCTTTCCATTGCTATCAAACTATTATTTGTTTGCTTACATCTCGCCGACACAAACTACATAATTTTTGATACAAATACGAGTAACTGATTGCATTGAATAGGCGATTGAATGAACATGACACAGGAGGGACCCACCATGCAGACTCAACAATGCATAATCAATATTACATAATGTCATCAGAGGCTAGTGGTGTTAATCACACAATGTTAAAGGAATCTTTTTTACGTATCATTGCCAAATTCAATCGTCATTTTGACGTCATTATGACGTCAGTCGGACGTCACTGTCTGGTGAGTGAATGAGGTCAATACGACGTGAACAATATGACGTCACTGGGCTGTGACTTATTCACGTCATTATCACGTCAATGCGACGTCAACTACTGGCGTCACCTTGGTCATTCAAGTGACGTAAAAAACACGTCACTGTAACGTCATCTGGTTGCCTGGGTGGTGACGTCAGTTTTCATGCTGTTTCGTTATTGGTCAGATAACCTTCCATTTTCACTCATGAAGCAAGGTTGTCAAGTCGAGAATTTTAATCAAGTTATCAAAAAGACGTTCCGAGTCCTGTCGGTGAATAAAACATAATACTTAGGAGGAACTCACGACATTATAGTTCATTCTTGACTTTCGAGAAACCAGCGTGTCCGAATATTTCTCATTCTTCATAACAAAATATCACGTGACTATTGAAGACTTGGCAATATTGTGCTGAATGCTAAGAACTGACAAGACAACGTCCACAAGTCAGGCGCGTGGTTGCCACGTTCACCGATTCAAATATACTCAAGTGTATAATTTCATTATTATTATCACAAATTCATTATGAACAATAAGTCACAAATTATGTGAACATTTTGAGACAATTGATCTTTATTGCTAATTAGGAATATTACCAATACTCAATTGAAAACTAATGAATTATTGAATAACCAATATTTCTCCAATAGTTCCAATCGTATTTCAACAAATGGCAACTGTGCTATGGTTTGCCTCTACTCACGAAATCGTGGCGTCAGTTTTTGATGACGGTAATTTTCTAGCCGTTTTGAAAATTATTGATGATTTTAGCACCCAGAAAACGACCGGAAAATTCTTGAAAAATATGAAATTGAAAGGTATTTGAGTGATGATTCTATTCAAGAGATGACAAAAGAATAGACCACTCGCCTATTGAATATATATATTTTTTTATCCGATTTGGTGATGAGTTGTGTATAATTTCATATATAATATTGTTCACCCTTTATAAAGACAATTGGTGATGTTGTCATGAACTGTAATAGAATTTTGTTATACAATTGAGAAAAGTCAATAAAAACTATTAATGTCACTCTGAAATATCAAATATATAATTTATTCCATCAAACTACTATACTAGCTGTATCAAGTGGGAACCTGCCCCATATTCTGTAGGCAAAATCCTTCAAGTTGTTTGAGCATTCCGTATATCTACCGGATTATGTATGGAGGAATGGAAAATAACTTACCATTGCATAGTCCGAACATAATGGTCCATGATAGAAGAAGAAACATGGTGGATTTAGGCCGGCTGACCGCCTCACTATACGATGTGATCATTCACCCTGTAACAAAGAAAAATTGTAATTTTTTTCAGATAGTTTTATTGAATATCTATACATGAAATAATCATTTCAAGATATTTTGTAATTGATGCTTCAAAATATAATACCAATATCGCATATGAAATCGTTTTCTCGTCATCATATCAGAAATGAATAAAGTTTCTACTCCATCTTCAAATCTTTCTAATGAACTCAATGAACTCTTTGAGAGTGTATTCTTGCTGCAAAAACGGGCGGTGCGGTATTTGTGCCAAGTAAATAGGCTGAGTTCCTGCAAACCTATTTTCCTGAGACACGGAATATTGACACTAACTTCAATCTACGTTTTAGAAGCTACATGTCTCATTTACAAGATTAAATTTTCATACAAAAATGACAATCGCAATACACGAAATGCATCGAATCTAACATTCATCACTGATTAAAGACTCAATAATTCACAATGGTGTCAAAAATACCAAAAATCTTCATATTATAATGCAATAAGAGCCTACAGTTCCTCACCACGAAATTTGAAAACTATCACGGTTGCAAGGTTTGAAACTTCAGTCATTAAACTTCTGAAAAATAAATGTTCTCACTCATTCAACTATTGGTTGTTATAATACTTTTTATTTGTAATAGAAAGTACCTATTTTATTGGTGAAATTTATGTAAAGGTTGATTCTAATATGTACTGATGATGTATTTCAAATTTGAATGTACTCAGAAAATGTAGATGTAACATTCTATAACATGTAGTAAATCAGGTATTCCAAAATGTAATTTCAAAGAGATGATGTAAATGCAAGAGGTAGTTGAGTTGTTCTGTAACCCCTGACGTTTGCTGTGTCCATGTTGATCGTTTTCGCAATAAAGAGATCATTATTGAAATGTATAATAGACTTTTATTTTATCGCTTGGAGCGCACGAAAGGAAATCCCTATAATGTTCGAAGGACATCGTGCGTTCCTAGGGAGGATAGGAACAGGAGGTAGGTATTGGAATTTTTCTTGAACTTCTGGAGATTATATATTATTGGGAATACTTCCTCAGGCAATGAATTCCAGAGCCTAGCCGTTCTATGGATGAAGGAGTTTTGATAAAGTGCTGTTCGACATCTTTCGAGGTTGACAACGAAAGGATGTGATGACTGGGCTTGTCTAGTTCGGCCGACTGGTCTTGCTAGTGGAGGGATGATAGCAGAGATTTCTGAAGAATATTTCCCGTGGAAGTATCGATGGAAAAGTGAAAGGTCGCCGACCTTTCTACGGTGTTCCAATGATGTCAACGAGTGAGTGAGTGTGGCGTCACCCACCAGGCGAATGGCTCTTATCTGTATGGAGTCTAAGAGCATCAGCGTATGTTTTGGTACTGAACCCCATATGTGAGAACAGTATTCTAGAACAGGTCGTATCTGCGTTTTGTAAATCATGAGGAGCTGTTGAGGTGTAAAGTAGCTTTTCGCACGAAACAGGAATCCGAGTTTTTGTGGAACAGCTTTTGCGATGGATCTGACATGATTATCCCATGAAAGAGTGTTGCTGACGGAAATACCGAAAACTGGAATAGGAGTTTACAGGCCTCGTACCAAGTATTTCGAAAGCCTCGGTGAATTTTCGGGGATATTCTTGGCTATAGCAAATGAACATTTTCATCTCGAGAAAAGCTGTTTTTCAATTATTGCCTAGTAAGTCAAAGAGGCAGTATGAGTTTTTATACGAACGTTTCTTGAAATGGTGTGATCAGAAATATATCAGTGGAAAGGAGGCCAGTGAAAAAGTGCTTCTCGCATATTTTGAAGAAAAGTCCAAAATATCGAAATCGTCAACGCTTTGGTCCAATTACTCTATGTTAAATTCGATGATGAACATAAATGATCATGACATAAGCAGATATGACAAGCTTGTGGCTTTTTTGGAGCGGAAGGGTGAAGGAAAAGTATTGACAAGAGAACAAATAATAGAGAAATTTCTCGCAGAAGCCCCAAATGAAAGTTGCTGCGATTTATGGTGTTTTTGGAGCCTGTCGTTGAGAAGAACTGTGCGATTTGACATTAAATAATATCGAGGATTCCGGAACTTTACTAGTTGTGCATGAACCAGACACAAAAACTAATGTGCAACGCACCTTTGTTGTAAGTGGTTCATTGTATATGAACTACTACAAAAAGTACATAGCCCTTCGTCCAGTGGATATTAATCATTCTAGAGTTTTTATGAAATGCATTAAAAATAAATGTGCCAGGACTTCAGTTGAAATCAACACATTTGGTGAGATGCCTGCCAAAATTGCCGAATTTATTGATTTGCCTGATTCCCATCTATGTACTGGAAATTGTTTCCGACGTTCCTCAGCTAGTTTGTTGGCGGACTCTAATCTTACTACAATTAAAAGGCATGGTGGATGGAAGTCCAGTACAGTAGCAGAGGGTTATATAGAAGACTCGCTACAAAGGAAACAGAACATTTCAGATCAAATCTTGTCGAAAACTTCGGCAGATAATATTGCTCTCTGCCCTGGTACGAGCTTCACGAAAATAAATTCTGTCACATCTACCAATGAGACAGGCCATGGAGTTTGGTATTATAATAATTGTAGTTTCGTTAATTGTACTTTTGATTGAATAAATACTTCATTTTGATTTATGTTTACATATTTTCTCATGAAAATGAATCACTTTTAGCACTAGTAATAAAAGTGATTTACTTTTGACACCAGTGTCATAAACTGACATTTTAGACACTGACAGCATGCGTCAAAAATTATAATTTCACTGACGTTTGTAGCAAAAGACTTTTATTATGTTGAAGGACAATCAACGTTACTGGGAGGAAGTGGATACTTCAATGTGCCTCATATCATAACGTGACATGTAATCAAGTTTACAAGAATGTGATGAAACTGGCATGATTTTTGCTCAGTGGATATTTAGATTTTTAGATAGCCTAAAGATGAACTGCAAAAAAAGTGGATGGATATGGTGAATATCCTCTTCCAGATGGATCAATTGGTGAAATTTTGCTAAGAAACCCACGGTTAGTTGAAAACAAATCACCAACATATCTTTTTAAACCTACTATAAAACTCCCATCGACATCTACCGCATTCTTAGTGTGTAAGTTTTTCATTATTCAGCTTGCAAAAACTCATCACTGTAGTGTGATGTTCTCATACTGTTCATTTTTCCTCAATTCCCATATTTCCTCCACTATAAACTGCTGAGGCGTGTGTCACTTTATTCCATCCATAATACAAATGTGTTTTATCGCCACTTTTCTCTGCAGCCGTGTTTGCCCTAGCATGAAGAAGCTATACACGGAGCTATTCTCGTTATTTTCTTCCAAGACAATGAAAAAAGATCCCTAGTTTTATCTGTCATCGGCAGGGGAAGCTTAGGAATTCGTTAGTCAGGTGTTTCGAATTTTCCGTTGGGTCGGCTTTAATGATATAAGATATCATTATTCGTGGATGTTTAGAAACAGAGATGAATAGTAGATTTGAAGGGTTCTCTGTGGTTAATTGTTTTGTTAGGATTGCCAGTTAGGGAAAGTCCTCGAGCGTTTACAATAGGGTTCAATCAATAATATAACACTCGAAAATCCGAATTCGGGTTTCTCGGGTCAAGATAATATCGAGGATAATATGAAGAAAATTATCTTCAAACATATCCAAGCCCTCAATGCCTATTGAATCTCTGTTGACGGTTTACTATAGTCTTGTTTACAGTCATTTGTCATATAACGTAGTTCTGTGGGTGAATTCCATAAACAGTGAAAGAATCTTCACAACACAGAAAAGGATAATTCGTACTATGTTAAAATCACCCCCAAGAGAGTCCTGTAGGTCCTACTTGATTTTTTACAAAATACTCACCTTTCCATGCTGATATATATTTCCAAATGTTTATTGTATTGTAGGTGATATCTCTAAATTTGAAACGAATTCACATTACCACAACTATCCTACTAGAAATGATAATCTTCTGTACAGCCCGAAACCTAAAACTATAAAATCTGAACGATCCTCCACTCTCCAGAGGATTATTTGGTTGGATTGATTGATTCGACAGAAATAACTAATTATTTTTTTGCAACGTTATTGGACAGAAAACAACAGGAATAAAAATTCATAGTCAAGAACAAAATAATAAAAAATGGCCGAGGGTGAACCCGCATAAGTAACATAGCAACAACTTTTCAGATATAAATAAATAAATAAATAAGAAAATGAATGAATAATTTATTGATTCATTCAGACCTCCACAGAATGTATAGAAAAAGTCGGATTGTATATAGGACATACAAAAAACAAATACATCAATTACAAATAGTAATAATATACAGTCTGTCCAAGATAATGTTGAACAGCATGGGGATCTCGGAAACGGTAGGAGATACGAAGTCGTTTAAATGGGGAAAAAGTTGCGCATTCAGAGGCTCATATCAAGAGCTTTCGAAAATTTTTTAAATTAATTTTAGTTTTTTTGTTATATCGAAAAAAGTTAATTTTTGGAATATCTATTTTATTTTTTTTCTCCGTTATTATTAGAGATACAGAAAAACTGAAAATACTTTTCCATAGCAACTTTTGATGACGTTTAACGTGGTGATACCGATTTTTTTATGCAACGTTTCGTATCCGTAGAACCATCATCAACTTTTGTTTTTTAAATATGGTCCTGATAATTTTTTCACAGATTCTGAAAGGTTTTTTTATTCTTAATTCAACCATGTATCAAACAAGGTGATTCGAATGTGTTTCGACCTATTTCTATCCATCATCAATTGCTTTTTCGAACTTCCAAAGGAAAAAAGCCATCAGTTCCACTTATTTCTGATCATTTAGTGTAAAACTCGATGGATTAGTTATTAAATACTGAAAAGTGAATGAAAAATATTTCACTACTTCATTCGATCAATGCAGCGCTTAAAATGTTTGATGAATTCTTACACGAATTATTTTAACAACTTAACTTTTACAAAACTTACAGAGACATTCATAACAAATGTTCAA